TTATACGTACGCCAATAGTTTACTAACAAGTATCTAACAAAATATTACTTACACAAAATACATCAAAAAGCTCTAAAAGAAAACAACACTTTGTTTCATTCGAACAAATATTTCTTTAATACGCACATTTCACTTGAAACCAATATTCATATAAAAACACATACATGTTGTATATCTGACTTTCATGAATATAAGTTTCGAACTTCAAAGAATTTATCACATTTTTTGTTTGATCGCTTTCAAAAATAAGGAGCATTGATATTCAATAAACTATATAAAAATAAAAAGTGTTCAAAGTGAAAATGAATCATATTTCTACCATGCGCCTATAGCGTAATTAATGCTAACATTTAGCGCGTCTTTACACTATGTTTGTATAACGCCAATGACGTCACATCAAAATATATGCACTGCCATCCAATACTGTTTTTTCAGAGTCACAAATAGGCACAGGCATGTGATAAAAATGAATATTTCATTTTATTGGTTCTATCACTAAAACTATAGTTCATTTGACAAATACATTCATTTATATAGAAGCTTGCATGGTATAATTTTATCAACTTGTTAAATATATTCAATTATGGTACATTTTTATAAAGAAAGAACACAAATTTATAATACATGTATTTTTATCAGAAAAATAATATTACATATACAAATATTTCAGGTATGACAAACTGATTGACTTCACAATAGAACCCTTAACCTGCTGGAACCCCAACTGATAAGTCTTTGGAACGTGTAAAAAGCCAGGCCAGCTTATACATGCAGTACAGTCCGACCAGGCTCTATACTGCTTGTAAGTCAATTTTTTGTATTTTTAATATTGAAGTCCCTAAAACCATGAATGGACTGTTCAAAATATAAAGCAGGACAAAACCATTACACAAGTTCAGAGGGTTAAAGGGTGAAGAATGAGTATCCAATACAAGAAAGCACTACAATATTGCACACTTCTAACAAATTGCCTCTTTACAAAGCTTTACAAGTTATGACACAGACTTTACATTATGGACCAATAAACTTTCATATATTCATAACAGTGATTTTTTTACTTGACATAAACCCTGATTGTAAACAAGGGAAATAAATCCTACATAAAATATTCATGACTGGTAAGTAACAAAAAGCAAAATGAAATGAATGACCCATATATTGATATGTGACAATTGAAGCCATATGAAAACTCTAATGCAGTAAATAATGTCTTTTTTGTACATTTTCAGTCCCACTAAAGCTGCATGCCTCCAGATGAGTCAAGATATTTTCAATAAGATCAATCTTGGTAAAAATGTTCTCAGATTTCAAGAAAAGTAAAACGATTCAAGATTCAACTAATAATTTACATGTTTTGTGCCATTAATGACTGGTTTTGCAGTACAAAAAAGTATTAATCACCATATTTCTATGGCATGCTTAATGCAGTAAGCTCTTTTTTTGCATATTTTGAACCTCTTTTTGATTGTAAGTGCCGTATGCACTGTGTAAATTACTTTCATAGTCCAGTTTATAATATTTACAGTTTTCATGAAAAACTAGCATGAATATGAAGGTGTGCTGCTTTATGGTCATATCCTCATAGAGTTTCAACTACTTAACACTTTGCAGCATTATCAGAACGGAAATGAAAAGCTGACTTGAATATGTGTGATATATTTACAGCATATTTGAAATTCAGTGATTTAAAAATTGTGAATAATCTGTGATTTTATGATTTTTATGCTTTTTAAGAAAAACTTAATAATTCTATTCTGGTTACCGTAAAGACTTTGGTTAACATTTCATAATGAGTGAGACTAAAATAAGTGTTGGAGCGCCACACTAAATACTGTATTCCTGTATAATCCAGATAATGTGCTTGAATGATTAAATGATAAATATGGCATTTGCATTTTCAGTTGCTGAATACACTATAAGCCGTCTAATTCATCTTGTCACACTGATTTATTAATGAAAATGAATAACAAAATGTAAGAATCAGTAAAAAAAAGCAATATTTTCTTCAATGTGGTCATGATTTCTGCAAGTTGAGAGGTACTGCTCCAACACTGTAGTGAGTTAAATTCTTTTATAATACACACATTTGACCCTTTGAATGGATGCAGAAATAATTATTTATCATTGTGCGCACCTATGTAGAAAAAACAAAACGCAGGCTTACCATACGAAACCCTGTAGTAAACTATAGGCTGTAGTAAAAACTCCTAATTTTCAACAATTTGGTTAATTTAAAAAATGTAAATTCCACTGTTATGTTGGTAAATTAAGTACAAAAATGTAAAGCACTTTTGGAAATTATTTCTGTAACAACATATATACGAGATCAGTCTAACAATAGATCATAGAGTAGTTGATGTAACCGGATGTAAACCATGTTCAAAAACCGTTTGCTGTAGACTGCCGGACAGCTCGTCAAGTTTGATGGGTCAGGTGAGCGATCTTGGGCCATCTTGGCCCTCTTGTTTTTGTTAGGCGTCTGATCATCGTCCGCCCGTCGTAATTTTTACTCTAAACGACATATCCTCATAAACCCCTATGCCAATTTCATTCAAACTTCACAGGAAAGTTCCTTTAGTGGTCAGCTTGAAAAATTGTTTAAATATTTTAATTCCATGCAAAACTCTGCAAAAGAAACAACTTAAAATATCTTCTTTTAAGAAACGCAAAGAGCTAGAGCTTAGATATTGGCATAAAACATCTTCTAGTGAGTGTCAACCAAGTGTGTTCAAATAAAACCCCTAGGGTCAAAATTTTAGATAATATGGTGTCGGGGTCATTGATTTTCTTTATATGTATAAACATGTAGTAAAAACTAAAAAAGGGCTTCTTTTAAAAATCCCAAAGAGCTAGAGCTTAGATATTAAGCATAAAACATCTTCTAGTTAGTGTTCTCAAAGTAAGTTCAAATAAAAGCCCGGGATCAAATCAGCCGGCCCTTGGGTTCATTGATTTTCCTTACATGTATATAGTAAAAACTTTAAATATAAATCTTCTTTTTAAAAACACAATGAGCTAGACCTTAGATATTCAGCATGAAACATCTTCTAATGCGTGTCTATCAAAAACCCAAATTAACAAGAATTTTTTACTCAGGTGAGCTATTTAGGGTCAACTTGGCCGTCTTGTTATGATAATTTATAGAAATGTTCACCACCATTTAATGTATTGCTTCATACATGATCCAGTTCAAAGGTCAAGATCACACACACAGCTAATTAATATGCATATCTATAAGACCTACATGTTCATCAAAAGCTTTTGACGGGCGTATTTCTTATTGCCCTTGTTCTTCTTTGTATAATCTACTCCTTTACTAACACAGTAGAAAATAAATCATTCAGCATGGCCACGTGTCACAGTCTAGAGGTTCAGAAAGTCCCCGGATCTAGTAGGCCAGGGATCATATATAAATGTTTGTTAATGTGCAGGCCCTAATCATATTTCAAGCTAAAGTTTTAATTGATATATTGGTCATTTAATATATTATATGAATCATCAAGTATAACTTTTAGAATGACAAACTATTACAAATTACAAAAAAGTAATTTATTTATTTCCCTCTATGTTTGATATGATTCTGATTCCATGTGTTCCGGACTACAGGTCGCGATAGTGTCCTGTACCATTACGTAGCACTCTAAGGAAAAATGGATGAAAGAATTCCGAAGGTATATTAGGGGGAAAGCAAACTATATGTTTTCAGAGCAAAAATATTAAACTATGAACATTTTGATCAAGTGTCACTGCGATTTCTTACAACTAGGTATTTTGTAATATTTGTAAGACAGTAGTTGGGCGTCCGTGGCCGAGTGGTTAAGGTCGTTGACTTCAAACCACTTGCCTTAACCGCTGTTGGTTCGAATCCCGAAAGGGACTTTGGATTCTTTCATGTTAGGAAGCTATCCAGCTGTCTTACGGAACGTCGGTGGTTCTACTCAGGTGCCCATTCGTGCCTGAAATAATACACAGAAGGGCACCTGAGGTCTTCCTCCACCAGGAAAGCTCGAACGTCGCGATACGACCCATACTGTGTCAATGTGACGTAAAACACAAAACAAACAAACAAAGACAGTAGTTTTTGTGTTATTTTCTGGAGGTGTGCTGCTTTAAAGCCATCATTTATTCACTTTTATCGTAGATATTTGTGTTTTTTTTGTTGTTGTTTTATTTGTATGAATCGAACTTTATGCATTCTGGGGTTGACGTAATGACTAAAGAGGATTTAAGAATAGAATTTTATTTCATTCATGCACAGAGGTATGAAAAGCCATAAAATGAACATGAATATTACACTAGTGTAACCACAAGGTAACATGATATTGTTTTATTCAAACATCAAAATAGGCTAAATATTAGCATTGCACTATATGTATATGTGCATCAATAAAAAGAAATACTCTTTTTTCACTGTGTACTGTTTTTATTTTTGGCATGTAGTGAATAAAAACTTATCATTTTGTATTTATCTCTAAATTTATAGAACTCGTTAAACTAAACAACTCTTTGCTTGCCAAATACTCATATGATATAGTTTTTTTCATATTGTTCAAACAGCTTAGTAGTTGATTTTTGTAATACAACAAATAATAATTAAACCAGATGCATTCAAAAATGGGAATTTCAAAAGAAATGATCACCTATAATAAATAAAACATGCTATACTCTTTGCATACATTTTGAGAGAAAGGCATATATTTAAAAACATGTTTATTTTTCTTTTATAAATGATTAGATGTCAAACAATTTATGTCCTGATTGATCCTTACTGAACTTACGAATTTTCCTACCTGACAATGTATACATGTATACTGTTGAGGAACTATCTGAGATATATAAATTATTGTTTGCATATGCAAGACGGAAACAATCAAAATCAGTGTTAATCTTGTTTGTTGTTTTCATATTTCTTTCTAGAGAAATGAAATGAACTTTCTTTTTTGATGGAACAGTTACTGCTACTTGTGTGTTATTGATCATACACACTTGATATGGCCAATCGGGTAGATCACAATAGTCTGTGACAGTGTAGTTGTAACTGTGTAGCCGTTTAAGCTTATTGTTGCTGAAATCAGCTAGAATTATTGTACCATCTTCCATACAGCAGGCACTCATGATATCACAACTGTTATTATCAGACTTAACTTTTACATAATATGATTGATTTCCTTTAATCTGAAATAAATTGTCAGCAGTCTTTGTATGTTGCTCTGATAGTGTTCCTAGGGTCTTTTTTTGTTCTAACTGTGTAAGAAGAAATAAATTGTCAGCAGTCTTTGTAGATTGCTCTGATAGTGTTCCTAGGGTCTTCTTTTGTTCTAACTGTGTAAGAATTGTTCTGTCGGGTTGAAACTCTATGTTTTCTATTGTACTTTTTATTTTGGCATGCTTTATATATTTGTTGGCAACATTTACAGCATGTTCTCCCATCTTCACATTAACAAACACTTCAGAATGATTTGTGTTTGTAGATGTTAACTTATCATTAGCTGATCTAATTCTAGATTTAGTTGCTAGTAGCTGTTTTAAACTGTCTTCAATTCTGTCTTCAAGGCATTTGACTCTACTTTCTATCTCATCAATAGAACTTTTTTCCAGCTTGTCAAGTTGGTCATTGATTTCTTGTCTGAATTTTCTGATATCAGCCAGTATTTCTGCTTTCCTTTTTAACAGCCGTTGTTTATCCAGTTTAAATTTATCAACTTGTTTTTCAAGGGTCTTGGCTATTTCCTTAAGTTTTGTTTGAAGGTCTCTTGATTCAACTTGGTAAGTATTGTTTTGGATAAATTCTGGTATGTAGAATGTATCCTTACATAATCTGAAAAATAAGTTCAAACAGTTTATGAGGCTATGAGATGACGTAGGAGATGATAATTTATTTAGTGTTATATATTTAAGATAATCTAGGAATATTACATATTTAGTGTTATATATTTAAGATATTCTAAGAATATTATGTAAAGTACCTACTAAACATTCCATATACTTTCTTAAAAAATATCTTTGTTTAAATACTATAGTTTACCTGTGATCGACTGCCATACATGTAGAACAGCCAACATTATCATGGTTCTGACAGTACATATCAATGTGTTTATGACTATGTCTGTCACATCTCTCTGCTGGTGCCCTCGGCATAGCTTTGCTGGTTCCTGACTTAACTTGAGATTTATCCAATACCTTGTGACCAGCACATAAAGGCACTTTACTGTGAACTTTGACACATCTAACACAGAAATAATCGTGACAATGTACACAGTATTTTTTACCTTCAGTGTTCCTGCCATCATTTGTACACATTGAACATAATACGTCAAATATTTCATCCGAGAGCATATCCGTATCAATTTGTCGACCTGTAGCCATTTTGTCTTTTTCCCCCGATTTGTCCTTTGTTAGTCGATCTATTTACATTGTAAAATTGATAAGAATGTCTCTATTTCTTTCACAGTTATTTTAAATTTAAACATTGACACTATACTCTATAATTAAGATAACTGAAAGCCTTAAGAATCTTCTACATTCACACTCCTGGAAAAATATCAATTTCTACATATTTTTTTTTTTCATTGATATTTTCGAAATAATGTCTAAATGATTTGACCTACTTTGGGTTTAACTTAACAAAAGTTCCCTTATACCTCTTTGCACACAGTGTAACTTTATCTGGTGAAACATTGTCTAAAGTTTATTCATATTCAATACTAAATTGTTAAACTTTATATAGGTATATAAAGTGTTTATATTGGGCTGGTTTAACATTATTATTATATTGAAATCAATATACCACAGAAGAAAATATCTAACGGAAAAAATAAAACTTACTTTATTTCCACTCACAAAGCAAGTGGTGTACATATACATGTATATATAAGCCCTTTGTTGTTGTATTTAGGACACATTTAAAAATGAGCTGTTGCAATATCAAAATTATTTATTTGTCTGGCTTGTTTCCATTGAAAGTTCTAAATTCGACCTCAAATTATCAAATGGAAGACTTAATAAAAGGAAAGATACAAAATCACCGTCTTTAAAATTTCAGATTTGAGTCAATATTTAAGTCCCTTTTATTTTATATTTTAAAATTTATTACTTGGGTTTCCAAAAGCAGCTTCACCAAATACAAAAAATTTCCCTTTTTAAAAATTAGATAAGAATCTGTCACAAGACGCGTACGAGTACAATATAACAACTTTGACAGAATAAAGTACTAGGTTCCTAATTTTCCAACAGTAACCATTGCTTTGAATATTTCTCCTTAACTTTACTTTATTTACTGGTATAAATGGGCCTGAAAATTTAAAACAAGATTGGCCTGAAAATTTTTTAAAACCATTTTCAAAACATTTAAATTAAAAATTTCATAGCAGTTTTTTTTCAGACCTTTTTTTCATTTTGAATATAAACAGTACGCAGTAGTAAGCAATGTCATGGAAATATAATGTGTGCAACCGTTTCTGTGTGATTTGCAAACATATTGATTTAAAAGAATCCTAGATGTGGGCCTCAATTATTGCTCATAAGCTTTCAAACTGGAATTCTCTAAGTTTTACATATGTCTATATATTGCAAGTCCTCTGTTATGTAACTTTAAACAAGCCAAACTTCAGAACATATAAACCGCTGTACTATGTGTTGCGTTGGAAACAAACATCTCTTTGATTTCATAAAGTAACACATAAACTTTATAAGTAAAAATATACTGTACTGGTCGAAAATGATAAAGGGTAGTGGAAAACTGCTAGAGCCTGGTAGAAAACCAGTATGGATTTTATGTTCCGAGTTCTGAAAGATGTCAATTAGAAAAATTCATCTGTTTACTTAGGTTTGACCTTTAACGTGTAACCAACGCTGAACAGCCTTTGACTCTATATGCAAATGTTAAACATAGACTACATATGAATTGGATATTGCTGGAGTTAGTTTGGGATATTCTCATAATTAGTATTATACAAAATTTAAAAAAAAAAACCCGATCTTTGGCTAAAATTTCGTTCCAAATTTGCCTGTAAAAACCTGGAAAGAATGTTCGTGTATGTAAGTTGTGCAGACTGAAAATAAATATCAGGTATTAGTCCGAGTTGCATAATCTTTTCAGTCACTCAAGCTCAGCCAAAAGAATTATGGCCATTTATTTTCCTCCATGATGCATATAATGGTCTGATTCAGGCCACCCCGTGCATCAAAATTGTATCATCACAAAAAATCGACTGGCATACATATTTAGTATCATTCAGTGAATTATTGAATTTAAAGTTTATAGGTCACCTTTTTGTTGATAATAACATTTTAGGACATGAATGGTGGCAATGTCCGTACTCTCAACATAACATAACATAACATAACATAACATAACATAACATAACATAACATAACATAACATAACATAACATAACATAACATAACATACCATACCATACCATACCATACATGCATACAGACAGACAGACAGACATACCATACATACCATACCAACCATACCATACATACCATACCATACCATACCAAGTTACCAACCATACCATACCATACATACATATATACCATACCATACATATATACCATACCATACCAACCATACCATACATACCATACCATACCAAGTTACCAACCATACCATACCATACATACATACATACCATACCATACATATATACCATGTCATGCCCTGCCCTGCCATACCATACCATACCATACCATACATTATTTACATTTTAATTACCTTTTGGAAAAAAACACAGTCCATGAATTTTAGAATTCACAAAAATGTTCTTGTCCACGAAATTGAGTGAACTCACAGTAATGTATGTAGGTATATATTTGAAATATTTGTTTTATTGCCAGCAATATGATGCAGGACATGTATGGGTTGGTGTGATTTGTGTCCTAGCCGTGGTATTGTACATCATCTTCTTTGCTTCTGGCCCAGGTAGGTGGCAAGTAACTTTTATAGAAACAATATTTTAAAATATTAAGGTTTGACAACATTAAATATATATATTGAACTTTTCCTGCACTGTTTGAGTGTCCATTGCAATGTAGTTGTTTAATGAGAGTTGAATTCAATATGAATATATCTAAATCAGGGTTGCCATCATAATAAGAGTCTCATCAGATAGCATTAATGTGCAGGCATTGGTATTGAAGTGGTATAATATCCAATGCCTTCATTTGTTTATTACAGTGTTTCAGTAAATTTTGTTTGAAATCAAATTAAATCTTTCATTAGCTAGCTGAATTTGTATAACGGATTTACCCTGCTATGAATTTGGAACAGTTTACTTCAAGTTTAAGTGATTTCAATATCAAAATACAAAAATTGAGCGACTTGTCAGACTTCACAGACTTACTGGCTGTCCGGGCTCTATACTGGTGACAAAAACTAGTAATCAATTTTGGTAAGGTAGGATTTTAGGTCAAGTGTTACAAGCTGTATTGCTCAAGCTAAACTTATATGCTAGAAAATATTATTTGATGTAACACAATATTAAGTTGAAAATCTTGGTACGCACAAAATAAGCATTTGTTTTTGTGTAGCCTTGAAAAAGACATATAGATGTTACTTTTGTCGGCATCGTCTGCGTCCCCTTAAGCTTGTCGGGAGCATAAGTCAGTCATTATAAGTCAGATTGACTTCAAACTGGGTATGCATGCTTATTATAATAACCCGAAGTGCAGTGCACAAGAACCGGTACTCTGGACGTCTTAATTTTTGAGTTATTGCCCTTTGTTAATTTTCATACTTTTTTTGCCCGGGCCATTTCTCCGTAAGTATAAAAGCTATGGACTTGAAACTTCATAGGATGATAGATCTCATTAAGAAAAAGTGCAATGCACAAGAACTGGTACTCTGCATTTCTTATTTTTAGCTCACCTGTCACTTTGTGACAGGGTGAGCTTTTGTGATCACTTTTCGTCCGTGTGTGTCCGTCGTCCGTAAACTTTTACTTTAAATGACATCTCCTAATAAACCACCAAGCCAATTTCATCCAAACTTCACAGGAATGTTCCTTTGGTGGTCACCTTTGAAAATTTTTCAAAGAATTTAATTCCATGCAGAACTCTGGTTGCCATGGCAACCAAAAGAAAAAAACTTTAAATGTCTTCTTCTAAAAATACAAAGAGCTAGAGCTTAGATATTTGGCATAAAACATCTTGTAGTGAGTGTCTACCAAGTTTGTTCAAATAAAAGCCCTGGGGTCAAAATTGGCCCCGCCCCAGGGGGTCATTGATTTTCCCTTTATGTATATAGTGAAAACTTAAAAACTCTTCTTTTAAAGAACCCACCCAAAAAACTAGAGCTAAGATATTTAGCATGAAACATGTTCTAATGGATGTCTACCAAGTTTGTTCAAATAAGAGCCCTGGGGTCAAAATTGGCCCCACCCCGGGGGACATTAATTTTCCTTATATGTGTATAGTAAAAACTTAAAAATCTTCTTTTAAAGAACCCAAAGAGCTAGAGCTAAGATATTTAGCATGAAACATGTTCTAATGGATGTCTACCAAGTTTGTTCAAATAAGAGCCCTGGGGTCAAAATTGGCCCCACCCCGGGGGACATTAATTTTCCTTATATGTGTATAGCAAAAACTTAAAAATATTTATGGAAAAAACACGAATAGTTAGAGTTTAGATATTTAGCATGAAACATATTCTAGCAAATCTCTACAAATATTGTTCAAATAAAAGCCCTGGGGTCAAAACTGGCCCTGCCCCAGGGGTGTCATTGTCTTTAAATATATGTGTAAAGAAAAAAATTTAAAAATCTTCTTTTAAAAAACCCAACGAGCTAAACCTTAAATGTTTAGCATGAAACATCTTCTAATAAGTGTCTACTAAGTTTGTTCAAATAAAAGCCCTGGGGTTTAAACTGGCCCCGCTCCGGGGGGGGGGGGCCAATATACAGGTGCAGGTGAGCGACTTCAGGGCCATCATGGCCCTCTTGTTTAAGTTATTGCCCTTTGCTAATTTTCATACTTTATTTTTGTCCAGGCCATTTCTCCTAAAGTACAAAAGCTATGGACTTGAAACTTCATAGGATGATAGATCTTATTAAGTAAAAGTGCAGTGCAAATGAACCGGTACTCTGCATTTCTTATTTTTTGAGTTATTGCCCTTTGTTTATTTTCATACACTATTTTTGTCCAGGCCATTTCTCCTAAAGTATAAGAGCTATAGACATGAAACTTCATAGGATGATAGATCTCATTGAGAAAAAGTCTTGTGCACAAGAACCGGTACTCTGCATTTCTTAGTTTTTGAGTTATTGCCCTTTGTTAATTTTCATACTCTATTTTTGTCTAGGCCATTTCTCCTAAAGTATAAAAGCTATGGTCTTTAAACTTCATAGGATGATAGATCTCATTAAGAAAAATGCAGTGTACAAGAACTGGTACTCTGCACTTCTTTATTTTCTTCTTCATTTTTGTCCTGGCCATAACTTCTCCTAAACTCTATTGTTCACAAGGCGACACATCCGACTTGCGGAGTTCTAGTGTAATCCAGGGGTCACTGGTAAAGCCATGGGGCGAAGCGAAAAATTTCATGTCATTGATCTCAAACAATGAGTCTAATGGTCATTTGCCTTTCACTGCAGATTTAGAAATCATGTGAGATTTGTGGTTGGTGACTTTCAGAGAAATTGGTAATTACTAGTTTGTTATATAGGAAAGCTGGTGAAGTGGACTTACACAGTGTAGACAGTGTAGATATGACAAAAATATTGTTAAAATCGGCATAAGAACAAGACAAACAAAGTTACAGTGAATAGATTATGAAATTTTATATATATTTACTTCAGGGGCTATACCATGGTTTTTCACAGCTGAGTTATTTGCTCAAGGACCTAGACCTGCTGCAGTCAGTATAGGGGTACTGTTTAACTGGTCGGCTAATTTCTGTGTTGGTCTGTTTTACCCATTTCTACAGGTATGAAAAAATCAATTTATTTGTCTGTTAAATATTTATAATTTGTTCAAGAGAAATTGATGGCATGGAGCAAAATTAATCCATGTTTTTATAAAGGACAGATGTCAAAGTTATGACCCTTGCCACTTAATTAAGATGTGCATATGGTTAAGGAACTTGTCTTTGAAATTTGAAGGGAATTCTTTAAAGAATTTGTAGCAGAAAATGTTACCAGACAAAAACAATAATCTAAAATCTGGACATTGGAGTGTTTAAGGTATCTTCTTTTGCATTTTATGTTCACCTGTACAGTTGAATTTCATGATACTATCATAAATCTTATGTAGAACTTGGCAGAATTAATGTATATGAACTTGAATGTTTTAAAGTTTCAAACTTAAAATACTGTTGAATTTACTGTCTACTGTAGTCTCCTGCACAGACTAATTGGTTCTCTTGTTATACAACTCCAATATGAAAACCCCTTATGAAAATGTTCAAATTCAAAACAAGATAAAATAAAAAATGCTAATTCGGGTGTGCTTCATTGATGTATAGATAATTGTTAAACAATCACATGGCCATTCCTCCCATAGCGTCACCTTAGTGAAAAAAACTCAGTATATACATTTGTATGAAAATTTTCTGGAAAGCAAAAAAAATAAGGAAAAGTTTTGTATTCTACCATTTAACTGAGATAGCATGTAAAATATCTACATTTTCAGTCAAGAAATCAGTGTGATAATTTTTTGCACTATATTTTCTTGGTGCAAGAACTTTATTAGTGCATTGATCATGTTATTGCATTTATAGAAATAGTAAGATCTTTAAAATTTTAACAATGCACTATAATAGCATAATTACATAACTGTTTAAGTATATTGTAGAAACTCATATAATATTACTTTTTTCTAATTTTTTCTTTCTTTTTCAGGAATCTATAAATGCATACTCATTCATACCATTTGTTGTATTTCTGGCGATTTTCTGGATATTTACATTGTTTAAAGTACCGGAAACTAAAGGAAGAACGATTGAAGAGATTACCGCTCAGTTTCAAATAACTGTACCTTATAATCGTATACCATTAACCGAGGATACAGATTAGGATATACTGAATATTTACTGTAAAATTGTATACGAGGATACAGATTTGAATTAGTGGTGTTACGGTTAGAAAAAAATGCTGTATAAAATGCGACGTAAAAATCTAGTTAAATAATTAACCGACTGTACTAATAAAATCCTTAGATTTTCAATATAAACTTTGAATCTTTGTGACAAGATATGCCATTTTCTTAATATTTTGTTGTACTCAAAATGATTTAAATACATATCCGAATATGGAGTAACTATTTTCCACTAGGGTCGTACTGTATGCTATCAGATCGGAAAAAATACATTGTTGAGTACAACTAAAATACCAAAAAATTGTCATATCTTGTTATAAAGAAACAAAGATAATATTGAGTATCAATGCCCATTAGTCAAATTCTTACCTCGGTTACTGGTTATTGATTTGTCTAACCCCTTTATACCTAAAAACGACTGTACCTGTTTAAACGGATAAACGTATATAAAACCCCTAATTAGAATGCACTGAATTTTTACAGAGAAATGGCATACCATTTACTGATGTTACAGATTAGAATACGTTAAATCACCAGCTGATATTTGTCCTTGATTTGACTATGAATTTACATCATATTGACATGTCATTTTGTCTATGACTTTTTTTATTTATTTTTTTTGCGAGGGGGGTGTATGGGGAGATTTTGTCCCCCTAAATGTAATTATATATATTTTTTCATGTAAGAATTAGGAAAACATGATTTTTGGTATATAAATATTAGAACTTTGGAATTTGATAATTTGACTATCCTTCAATATAGAAAAGGATATAATGTGCCATATTGCAAGAAATATTCTTTAAAATCATGCTAAATACTTTAAATGGACTTGTTCATCTTTCTGTCTGGACAAAACCAGTCGTCAAATTTAGGGAAATTTTCAAAATACAACATGATAAAAAGAATCACTATGTACTGACTGAACAGTGCAATAAATGTTCAGATGGCATGGATTTGTGGGTTGATCTTGGTCTGCACTGATAGCATGGTTAGAATCATAATGAAATAATTACCTGAAATATGTTTATACAGTCATTTAACTTCTACAAATTTTGGGTAGTAAGGGTTTTTGGGTTGACTTCCCTTATTCGTTTTTTTTTTGCAATAATTTCAAAATCATAGCTTTTGCAAAAAATGACATACTTTAATTCATGTAGTATTTCATCAGTAGTTGACAACTTCAATATCCGGTTTATAGTCCAAATTATACGAATAAGAAATCAGACAACGATTTTCTTTAACCAGGGATGTATTGATCTAGTTATTGTTTCCTATATTTTTACTATGAAAAAGATTTGGAAAAGTATTATTACTCCACCTATTTTAGGCAGTATTTTATGAAAAAAAGAAATGAATGGAGGTCCACTCATTGAGATAGAAAATAAAACAACTTAAAAACATAAAATTGCAATTTCTACATAGATAAATTGGGACATCAAGTTTTTGTATGATTGTTATACAGTTTTAAGACAAAAATGATTGAATGTGTTAAGTTTTTGAGTCATGTTGTACCATATAAATAATTATTTTAAGTTTTGGGTCTAGACCTTAATCAAATGGCAGGCAAATATGGAAAAAATATTTCCAGTACCATATTGTCAAAAACCTCAGTGGTGTCCCTTTCATATTTCAGGCGGATAAATTTCTGTAATACTAGTGTTAATCTCAGTCATTTATATTTTCTCTTTGTATGTTTTTTTTCCACCAAAACATTATGTCATGACTTTTATATCAGTGTTGAACTTGTATGTTTATTATGTTTTTGTCTTGGTTTGACAAAGCTCATGTAATTTTTTTTGAGTTTGAACTACAAAGTATGTGATGTGAAAGGTTGAATTATAGTCCAACCTCTGCAGAGCAACCCCCTTTTATGAGCAATTACCTCTTTACAACAACAATTTTTAACCAGGTTTTCCGAAGGAAAAAACTGGTTATTAGATTGAGGTATGTCGGCGGGCGGATGGGCGGGCGGGCGTAAACAATTTCTTCTGTGCGCAACTCTTCCTACATTTCTCAACGGATTTTGACCAAACTTTCACAGAACCTTTGTCATCAAGTGCCCTGGCGCATATTGTCAAGGTTTTGTGATTGGATGATATTTGACCTAATTATGGCCCTTTGTTTTTTTTCCTTATATAGAATATTTAGTGAACAATTTCTTCTGTGCGCAACTCCTCCTACATTTCTCAACAGATTTTAACCAAACTTTCACAGAAGCTGTGTCATCAAGTGCCCTGGGGCATATATTAAGGGTTTTTTGATTGTATGTTTTGATTGTATAATATTTGACCTAATTATGGCCCTTTGTTTTTTTTCCTTATACAGAATATATAGTGAACAATTTCTTCTGTGCGCAACTCCTCCTACATTTCTCAATGGATTTTGACCAAACTTTCACAGAAGCTTTGTTATCAAGTGCCCTGGCGCATATTGTCGGGGTTTTGTGATTGGATAATATTTTACCTAATTATGGCCCTTTGTTTTTTTTTCCTTATACAGAATAAATATATAGTGAACAAATTCTTCTGTGCTGAACTCCTCCTAAATTTCTCAACGGATTTTGTTCAAACTTTCACAGAAGCTTTGTCATCAAGTGCCCTGGCGCATATTTTCGGGGTTTTGTGATTGTGGAGAATTTTTACCTAATTATGGCCCTTTGTTTTTTTTAGTGAACACTTCTTCTGTGCGCAATTCCTCCAACATTATTCATGATTTACATTGCTCATAGTTACATTGTTTGTTGCTTGTATTTGTATTTCAACTACAACATATTTATCTACAATGGTGATAATTGAAAACCTGGTTTCATGGCATTGCCATGTTTCTTGTTATTCCTCCTGAAGTAAGACTTTTCAATAAAATTTAATAACCTTTCTATACCAAAAGCTTTCAACAAAAACCAAAACCTGTGTCTCTCAAAGGGTGTCTCTCTGCAGAGGTTGTACTATACATGTTTAATTTCATTGGAATTTTAAGCTCTCAAATTTCTTTTAAGATTTGAACCTACAGTAAACTTTGCATAACACTATTCAGGGGACCACATAGCCTGGTTTCCAGTCTGTCAATTTCTATCTGCTTCTGTTCGGCAAATCGCCATTATCAAAAACACAAACAAGCATGAAATAGCGCGTGTGTTATGAATAAGCAAAAAATATCAACCCCTGAATTCCAGGCTTGGGACCTCCAATTTTATATTGTTATATTGATTTTGAACATCGTTATATCCCACCAGAGGCAATCAATTTGAAAACGAGTTGGGACCCCTGCAACAGCATTATCGTTGCATGCAATATTGTTATAAGTGAAGTTTACTGTACATATTTCATTATTTTCCAAGGAAAAGACAAATAAGGTTGATACTTCTGATTGTGAAAATAAGGCTACTGTGGATATTGAATTCACGATACAATAGCATAATAGCATTTATCATAGCATACGAAAACTAGCCAAACAGCTTAGAAGGGACACCGAATTTGTTCCTGTGAAAAAGTTGTTCCGCTACACAAATATAGGTTATAGGGATCTACTCCCAAGCAGAATTGTGCCGGAAAATATGTAGGGTCTTTCTTTAGAAATTGGATGTCTTTGATTGTAATAATGTAAATTTGACTTGAAAAAAAACTACATATAATTTAAACGCAATTATTTTTCTTGCATTTTCTGTAAAATATGTAAAAAGTTAACAGATAATTCTATCATTTCACTAGAAGTGTATCAACCAATTGTAACCCAGACTTTCCTGATCCCATGGAAAATGACTGGTGCATAATTTATACTGAAATATACATCTGTAGAATATGTAAATAGTTCTAAAAAGCACTCTTTGTGCTGACCTTGGATTTCACTGCCTCTTCTATTGTCATATTATTTTTATGTTACTCTGATTGTTTGAACAGTTTGTTTTTGTTTTGTGTGCAATATTTTGCAGATATTATTTGAGTACTACATGTATGTACTATTTTGACTACATCACTGTGATACAGTTATATAAGATATACTTGCATATATTTATTAAAGTTTATTTACAAAATGGTGGAGTTTCAGTTTCATTCAGATGTCACTCCAGAATTTTTATTACTTTCTTGTATAAGGTTTGCATACTTTTATTCTTGCATAAATATCTTCAGAAACCAAAGCATGTGTGAATTACTGACCGAGGTTTATTATTGCCAAGTTTGAGCTCTTTTAAATTTTCAGTTAAACCATCTGGAACAATAATAACGGGTCAGTCATACTTGACATTGCCTGGACATAATACTTGATGGTTTTTTCACTTAATATCACATTTATAAATGAAGATTATCATTGCTTTGAAACTACATGTAGACGTTTTTGATATATGGTTTTCAGACACTTTGCAAAACCTGTGACTTACTAAGGGTGCCTGTGGTCGGGTGGTTAAGGTCATTTACTTCAAACCACTTTCCTCTCACCACAGAAGGTTCGAGCAGCGTCTTCAGATTCCACATGTGATAAAGCTATCCAGCTAGCTTTACAGAATGTTGATGGTTTTAATAAGGTGCCTGTTTGTACCTGATATGATGTACAGAGGGGCACCTGAGGTCTTTTTCCACTAGTAAAGCAGGAAAGTCACCATATGACCTATAATGTGTTGGTGCAATGTAAAGCCAACCAAAAAAAAAATACTCTAAATATTATTGCTGAATCATACTACTTCTTCATGGACTCCATAGCCCTGTTTGGTATGATCTGCTGTCTTAAGCATTGTACTACAATATTCCATTAAAGATGTAAGCAGCTTCTCCATAATAGACTGACCAGTCAATTAGTAAATGTGGCAGGATATATACCAGCACAAACATCTACCGAAATGGACAAGTGGCAGACAGACAGAATATCTTGTATATGAGAGATGACTGGTCATTTTAATAACCCATTTTAAAATGTTATGTAACATTTTCTTTTAAATTCATCCTTTCTACATTTAACAGACTGCTACGTTTAAAAGATTACTAGATCGCTAGTCAGTCAAAAATCTGTATAAGATAGCTTGAGGGGCGGGTGTATAATATATAAAACATTTAAACAAATGAGTTTAAGCAAAGAGGCTTTTATTTTATGTAAGTAAAGTAATTCAATAATATAAATAACACATGATAATTACATAACTATGTACAATATATCAATATACATGTATATAATGTATCAGAAAAAATAATATGGTCCCTATCTTGAGAAAAGCCACAGAATTGCACTAAGGTTAACAGTAAAAGATAACATTTACATATCACATAATTAATATAACAATAATTTTTACCTTCATATCTACTATCTCAAAAATTTATCTACTATCTCAAAAATTATAGAATGAAATCAGTTAAATATCATCTAATAATGCACTACTTCATATTATCTCAAACATCTTCTAATGCATTAACTAATTTCATTATCTCAATTTTTTTTCTCATTATACATGACTTTATATCATTTTAAATGTTCCTCTTATTGCACCAGTTACTATATTTACCTCAAAGATTATCTCCTAATACATCAGTTACTGTGATCTCAAATATTATTTCCTAAAGCACCAGTTCATTCATTATCTCCTATTCTTATCTCCTAGTGATATTACCTTTTAAAAGTATCTCCTAATGCGAAAGATAAAATCATTATCTCCTGATGACCAGTCAATATCAAAATATTATCTTCTAATGCACCAGTAAATATAATATTTCCTGTCCTTATTCATCAGTTAATATTAGTACCTCCTAATGCATCAGTTAACATTATAACCTCCTAATGCATCAGTAAATATTATTACTTCCTAATGCACTAGTTAATATTATTACCTCCTAATGCATCAGTTAATATAATTACCTCCTAATGCATCAGTTAATATTTTTACCTCCTAATGCATCAGAAAATATTATTACTTCCTAATGCACTATTTAATATTATTACCTCCTAATGCATCAGTTAATATAATTACCTTCTCATGCATCAGTTAATATTTTTACATTACATGTACATAATTTCAGTTGAAATTGGTAAAAATGTTATGCAAAAAATGAATAATTCAACAAAAAAAGAATTTATTATGTACTGAAAACTGTATTTTAATTTCAGGAATGTTAAACATTAAACTTAAAAAATTATATAAATGCAAGAAAAAAACAACCTGTCTATGGATTCAACTAAGTGAAAATGTTAACAAACATAAATAGAATCAAAGACATCATCTACAGAAACATGTACATGAAAACAAATTGACTTTTATACATACCATGTGGAATAGTTCACTAACAAATATTTAACAAAATATAACCTACAAAAAATACATTAAAAAAACTGTGAAAAAAAAAACAACACTTTGTTTCATTCGAACAAATATTTCTTTAACGCACATTTCACTTGAAACCAATATTCATAAAAAAACACATACATGGAGTATATCTGACTTTCATGAGTATAAGTTTCGAACTTAAAAGAATGCATCACGTTTTTGAAATAAGGAACATTGATATTCAACAAACTATATCAAAATACTTATTTCATTTTTATCACATACTCAAAAATAAGGAGTGTTCAAAGTGAAAAAGAACCATATTTCAATGATGCGCCTATAGTGTAACCCTAAAATTTAGAGCGTCATTACACTATGTTTGTATAATGCAAATGATGTCACATCAAACTATATGCAAGGCCATCCAATACCGTTTTTATGTCGCAAAAATTGGCACGGGTATGTGATAAAAATGAATATTTCATTTTATTGGTTCTATCACTAAAACTATAGTTCATTTGACAAATACAAATGTACATATATTTATATAGAAGCTTGCATGATATAATATATTCAACTCGTTAAATATATTCAATTATGGTACATTTTTATAAATAAAGAACACAAATGTATAATTTTTTATCACAAAAATAA